TCCTTGGATATATTGAGTTTGGAGAAAATAAGATACACAGAAGTGAGTATATCCCAATAAATAAGTTTGAAGTTCAGGGCAGAGGTCAGAATTAGAGTTAGAGATTTGAAACTATCTATAATAATAAAAGTGTAATATGCTAATTAGACCAGATGTCCTTCCGGACTTCCTTCTGGACGACCTTCTGGACAAAGCTGGGGCTATGAGGGAAGCCCAGGTCCCTGGTACCAGAGGGAAGCCGGTGCTGGCAGCTGGGGCAAGGAAGGCCTACTCTTGCACAAATTTCATGCATCGGGCCTCTAAGTATAGTATATAGCTAAAAATCCTAAGAATGGAAGGATGTTACCCAAGAAAAATATAGAATAAGAAGAGTAATGGGCAAAGGATGGAGCCCTGGAGGAAAGACCAACATCTGTGAGCTAAGCAGAGGAGTAGGTATTCTTAACGGAGATCAAGAAGGAATGATCAGAAAAGTATTGTAGAAGATCAGCCATGAAGACAAAGTGCTGAAGGCACAATAGGAAGTGAAGAAATGGGGGCACTGAGTTATTTAGAATGTCACTTTATAAGATGTTATCATTGTCAATATCATGATCATCACCATAATCACAAGAAAGCATTTGTTGAGGCTCCTTCCAATTCCTGATTTTAATTAAATATACATTAAAGTACAAATATATTACCTGTTTTTCACAAGCCAGTAGTCTTTCCCATTATAGTTACCGTAGCCAACCGCTAATACACCATGATTCACATTTAGAGTACAGGCTTTGTCATAGTAGACACCTGAGAATAAAATGGGTGGAGATGAAAAAGAGTGAATGGTATGTGATAATGAAGGACATTTGAAAATGCTCTTACTTTTACTAGACTGTTTTGCATATATGGCTAAGGTTAATTAAAATTTTAGGAACATATACTCTAATTTTTAAACTATTTATATTTCTTAATTCTTTGCCAACAATGCTGTGTTTGTTAGTTTTTTTGTCAAGTTTCCTAAGAAGTTTTCTTTGATAAAACTGTCACCCTTTTCTAATTATTTTTAACTTATATACAGTTATTGTATTTTTTTTATGAGAGGGAGAGATTGCTTTGTTGTTCCAGCTACCTATGCATTCATTGGTGCTTCTTATATGTGCCCTGACCAGGGAATGGGACCCTCCACCGTGTCCTATCCAGATGACCAGATGACCATCTAACCAACAGAGCTAGCCAGCCAGGGCCTCCTGAATTTCTTTGTGTAAATATTCCTAAATTGTTTCTTCCATACATTTTCATTCCTTAGTAGATGAAATGATTTTGTTAAAATTTTTTGTTACTCTTCCCCTGAGGATATTTTTTCCATTGCTTTTCAGAGAGAGTAGAAGGGAAGGAGGAAGGGGGAGAGAAAGAAACATTGATGTGAGAGAGACACATCAACTGATTACCTCCCATATGTACTCCGACAGGGGGGGCAGGGAGTGAACCTGCAACCCAGGTACATGCCCTTGACTAGGAATCAAACCAACAACCCTGAGGTATGTGGGGGCCAACACCCTAACCACTGAGCATACCAGCTAGGGCTAGATGAAATTATTTTTAAGGTGAGGTTTAGAAAAAATATTATAGCCTTCTACCCATCAGTGGGTGCCCTCCTTTATACTGCTATGCTGCACCTGCAGTCCACAGTGGCTACAGTGGTTAGGAGCACAGGTGCTGGAGTCAAGTAGCACAGTTTCTAATCCCAGTTAACCATTTTCAGAATGTGTGACTTTAGGCAAGTTAACCTAAGATAAGTTTTTCATCTGTAAAATAGGGTTATTGTGAGGATTAAATGAGATAATGCATAGAAAGAATTCATCATGGTACTTGGCATATAGTGTTAGTAAACTTTGGTAAGTATTACTTTACTAGTTAGAACTGGGTATAAAATGTGTATATGAAATGGAGGGTTCTGCTTATCCTACTCAAAACTTTCAGAGGTGGATGTTCTTTCTAATAGTGCAAGGGCAGAATATAACAAGAGGATATTATATCTGAGTTTTACCACTTCTGTAGAGGAAGAAAGAAGGATGGCTCGCATCTATAGCAACGGACACAGGTCCTTTATTGGCCACAGCTTCTTTCAAGGCCTCTTCATTACCAAAAGGAAGTTCAACATACTTTGAACATGTGGCAGCTCGATTTTTTACATCATACTGGCACTTTCCATCCTGCAAAAAAAGAGTATAAATTAGATAAAGAAGTATACTTCACTTTCTTTCATAAATCACCAATATCCTAAGTTTGGACTTCAAATATCTTTTCTTTCCTCATTTAGCCTTTTCAAGTATCTAAGGTGCCTTCCTGTTTTTGAAGAAAGAAAAATCAAATCTTCCAAAGCCCAGTTCCATGATTCATCAATAGCAGAGGATATATAGAATTATTCTATTGTTTTACATTATGCACATCTTCATATGTGCATAAGTTGCCAGGATAATGTCCCTCACACTCTAAGGTGGATTGTAGGGGTGTACAACATAAAGATCATAAACTCTAGACTAGAGCTTTAAAATCTTTTTGGTAATATAATGCCTACAAGATGATCTGCAGTTTAAATAATGGTTTATAACAACCATGTAATATGGAAAACAGTATGTTTCATGTGGGAAAGGGGGGGGTTACTGATTCATGTTTGTTTATACAACTATGCTTTTTAAGTGCTTAGTAGAAAAAGAACTTGAAAGAAATAAACCAAAATAATAGTAGATAAGGTAGGAGGTTTTGGAGTGACTTTATCTTTTCTAAATTTTCTGCAATATAGATGGATATATTACTTATATTTGTTTAATAAAATATATTATGAACTCACAAGGAAGAGGAAGAAAGCATTACTTAGTTTTTTAGTAGCTAGAAGAATGATGTGGTTGATGATCCGAGATAAGAGTAATCATGGGAGGCTACAGGACAAAGAGTTTAAATACCAGGCAGATATTTAGAAAGAATTTTAAGGAAGGTTTGCTGAAATTCCACTTCTAAGCATGAATTGTATTTGCTTGTCTAAAACCAATATGCCACTGATAAATTAAGAAGGCTCTTGCATAAGAAAGAGAACTCTTGAGAATTTAGAATTCCTAATCAGGATTCTTATACGCATAACACTGTTTCTCAAGCAATTGGCTTGGTGGTGAGTTTAGTACAGTCAATCAAGAGAGATAAGATCTTGGGGCAGCCCAAAATATTTCCTTGCGACACACCATGGCTTTATAGGGATAGGAAGCTTCTGAATCGATGCCATTGTTGTCAATGATATATTGGAAAGCCTCTGTCATGAATCCACCATTGCAGCCTTTATTGCTGTATTTTCCAGTTGAGCAATCCACCAGGTTCTGGACACTCAGAGACACCAGCTTTCCTGTCTTCAGCTTCAGCTGTGCTTCCAGGGCCCCCACAGCACTGAAAGCCCAACAGGAACCACAAGAACCCTGAAACAGAGGCAGAGTCATATAGGCAATCATAGAAAGTTAGTAACATCCAAATTGGGCAACACCCAACATGTCAGCCCTGTCCATAGTTTCAAGGGAACTATTTAGTGCAGTGATTTTCAACCGGTGTGTTGTGGCAGGGGCACTGGGGTGCTGCAAGAATTTCTAAAACATATACCTGACTATTCAGTCAGGGAAACTGACTTCTTTTCCCTTAGATTGTCAAATAAAAACGTGACAACAGCGGCCCTGGCCGATGTGGCTCAGTTGGTTGAGCGTTGTCCCAGGCACCTAGAGGTCACAGTTCCATTCCCTGTCAGGGCACATGCCTGGGTTTCAGGGCTTGAGCCCCAGGAGGGGGGCATTTGGTAGGCAGCCAATTGATGTTTTTCTCTCATCATGTTTCTCTTTCTCTCTCTCTCTCTCTCTCTTTCTCCTCCCCCTTCCTCTATAAAATCAATAAAAACATATTTTTCAAAAATGACAACTAACACAATAGCTGTCCAGTATGAATGAATCAAAATTATACCTATTTTTTGTGTCAGATAGGCAAAAAAAATTGTTGTTGTTGTTGTGACACAGATCTTAGTAATTTGTTTATTTGTGCCATGAGATGAAAAAGGTTGACAATCATTGTCTTAGACAATGGGCATGAAGGCTAAACCCCTGCTCATTCTCTGGGCAAGGTTCAGCCTTGATAAAGATTTGCAAATGGCTGAGCTCAAAGCATAATTGCCATATTCAAACACATTAAGAAACAGTACTTATTAAGCATGTACTAAATCCAAGCTATTTTCACCCATAAATAAAGGAAATAGTTTCCTACAATAAAATGATTTGAAAGGACCTGGGGTGATTCCCTTGATCTAAAATGCCCTTTCTCCTGCCAAATGATGCCATGCCTGAAACATAAGGTCAAAAATTTATTTTAGCTTCTGAATTTTTAAATCCAAAGATATTTTACAAACAGAAAAACAAAAGGTATAGAGGGTCCAGAGCCCAATCATAATTGCTCTCACTCTCTTCTCTTCTCATCCCACCTTGCTCTCTACCCAAAGAAAGCACACTGAATTTGCTTTTGGTTAAAGCAAAACCACCTATTAAAATGCAAGCACCCAGGGAAAGAAGTTCATTACATTATTTATAGTCAACACCTAAATAAGCAGTTTATCAGATCTTCCCAAACTTTTATTTTAGATAATCTCCATTAAGAAACCCAAAACTAGCCGAAACCAGTTTGGCTCAGTGGATAGAGCGTCGGCCTGCGGACTGAAGGGTCCCAGGTTCGATTCCGGTCAAGGGCATGCACCTGGGTTGCGGGCACATCCCCAGTAGGAGATGTGCAGGAGGCGGCTGATCGATGTTTCTCTCTCATCGATGTTTCTAACTCTCTATCTCTCTCCCTTCCTCTCCGTAAAAATCAATAAAATATATTTTAAAAAAAAGAAACCCAAAACTAGTTGAAAGAAAAATAACTAGGTGGAAAAAGAGATGAACAGTAGCATTCACTCATTAATTTTTACATTCTTTATGGGTCACAAGCCAGGGCAGGTGCTTAGAATATTCTGAGTCTTCCTTACCTAGATCTCTAAGGTGATATATGTGTTTTACTCCTATTTAGCCCTAATTTAGGATTTTTGTAGCTTTTTTTTTACAAGCAAAATAAAAGAAATATAAAAACATAGAAACAAAAATTTAAAGCTGTATTTCTTATTCTAACAATGCAAGCCTAATCGAATCAATTGTGCGATTTACTCTGAGCTCTAACTCCTTCCTCTCCTTCCAACCTGAATTTCATAAGTGAGATGGAGGGAGATATTCTCTCACAGACAATATTATTTCCCAAGCAGTTAGCGTGGTGGAGGGTCCAGTGCAGTCGATGGATAGCATGAGCACTGAAGGTCTGTCTTGACCTACTTGCTTAGTTCACAGTTTTTGTATAATGTGGCTCTAATCGTTAGTGAGGAACACAAATAAAGAATGGTATGTGGTCCTTGCTCTCAAGAAGCTCACACTTTAGTTGAGAAGACAGAATAATAAAAATAATTAGAAAGTACATCAGGGAGATTCACTGCCAAATTATGTAGCTAGACTAAGTATTTACAGGAGAGAGAACTCTACCTGGGGTACAGAGGCCTGGCATGATGGTACTCACCTGGTATTTCACTTCGGTAACACACCCCTTGTCTCTCCAGTCCATAGAATCAGGTAATTTTTGATTAGGGTTTGACTTGAAAGTGACATTTCTCTGCCATTGGCTGGGAACTCTTAAGGAACTCATCAATAACATTACTTCTTCACTGGTCTACAAGGCAAAAAATGTATATATATCCTTTCATTTATATCCTGCTTTTCAATATCCTAGTAACTATAACTCTGAATATACACTGAGTGGCCAGATTATTATGACCACCCCCATCAGTACAGTGAAGTGAATTAGTTATGCAAATAATAATAATAATAAAACCTTGAGAGTATTTGCTTAGGATGTTTTCAATATTCAGTATTTTTGGAAGTGTCAATGAAGTACTGATGGGGTGGTCATAATAATCTGGCCACTCCGTGTATTTGACATCTGAGAAAAAACAAGTGGTAGTTGTGACCATCATAGATACTGTTAACTACCTCGTGGGTGAATTATCTGGGTCTCTTTTTTACTCTTACATTTTGCATTAGTATCCCAGTTAGACAGTGGGAAGGAGAAGAAAATTATAGAAACTAGAAGTTACTGGGAGATAGATTTTTGGTTCAAAGCAAGGCATAATTCTATAAAAGAGCTGTCTAAAAAGTGAACTGAATTGGTCTTTCTTGTGAGAAAGCATTACAAAGGAGAGTCCAACATTTAAGCGGGAATTTAATCTACCTAGGATGTTCCCTTCCAAGGGGTACGGTGATTCCAAGGAGCAAGATCTCAAATGATCCTATGATTCTTAATTTTGGCCACAGTGGTGCAGTTTTGCAGGGTAGATCAGAATCTAAAATGGGAGATTTTTTGTGTGATATTAAATGCCTGCATTCCCCAATTAAGAAAGCAGGGGGACCATATTAAATTGTCAATTAGACTTACATGAGTACGGTAACTACAAGATTGTGAGTAGTCTTACCAGGCTTTAAAAAATTGGGCAATGCTTTCTAAAATCAATAAAAACAAAAAACAATAGTAGTCTATGACTTTAAAATAAAGAAGGGATTTGTTAAGGAAAGTGGTCACAGTAGGACTAAAGGAATCTGTACAAATTCTTGTCTTTAAATTCTGCATTTTTTTAACTTTGTACATGTAAATAATTGGCCTTTGTCATTTACTTTCAATTTGCTTTTGAAAGACAGAAATCATGCTTACCAAGAGATAAGAGTAGGATTATCTGTGGTTTACCTACCATGTCTGCCAGGTGGTTCATGCCTAGATCATATGAATGCATCCCCATTGAATGCTCCAGGTTGTGAAGCATCACATATTTCAGATTCTTTTCCCAGATGAAACGTCGTGTTACCTCCTCATTCTAATATGTAAGGAAAAAGAACATAGTTGTACTGAATCCTGCACAAATAAGTGTTCAGTAATGAAAATAAACGTATTATGAAACATTCTACCAAATGCGGATCTGCAAGGGGGCATCTAAATAAATGAATATATTCAATATAACGGGTAAAACTATATATTAATCTTAATTCTTGCTCTTAATTGCTGGATGTGATTAATATTATTTTATGATATATAATGAACTTCTTCAATCTGCTAAAGAGTTTTTTTTTGTTTTTTTTTACAAAGTGCTATTGGTTGAATTATATCCTTTGTAGGTAGTAAATTCATGAAATCTTTACAGGTTTAAAAAAATTTTTTTTGCCCTCAATCTTGAAAGATAGTTTAACTGATTATATATTTCTAGCTATGTTTCTTTAGTGATTTGAAGCTATTTCTCCATTTTCTTCTGGTATTTATTATTCTAAACCACTAGAATAGAAAAAACGGAATAAAGAAAAATAAATATAATGAAGTATAGGAAAGGAAACAAGAAATGAACTTATTGAGGTAAGTTAAGTAGGATAATTAAATAAGTTAAGGTAAGATACCAATGGAAAGTCATTTTTATTTCTCCTTAGGGAGTGAAATCATTAAAAAGAGAGATAGCTTTAATTTAACCAGACAGTGGTGCCATCTGCACATCTAACTCTAGTGGACTTTGAAATTAGAGTAAGGGTGAAGTTCATCGTTCCAAGAAAACAACTCAGGGTACATGTTCTACTCAAAGTATCTTTTTATACAAAAATGATACATCAAATAAGTAATTGCATGTTTGCCTACAAACTCATTAGTATTATATACAGAGTGTCCCACAAAATGTATATATACAATGTCTGTAGATTCTACTACATTTTGAAAATGAAATGTATTTTAATAAATACTGCCTTTATAATTATTCAAAGTATGTATACCTTTTGGGGGGACACCCTGTAGTTACAGGACTTAGTTATTTGGAGCACTAGGGTTAAGGACTTAAAATCAAAATCAGTAAGTATGTTTTGAAATAAAAACAAGAGTACAAAGTGGGAAGTGAGAGTCAAGAAACAACATCTGGCATTCCATCTGCCAGGGGCGGAAATCAGGGTCTTTTATTTCCCAAACATGTACTCTTTCCTCATGGCCTGGGACCTTCACTCTAGTTATCCCCTTTGCTTGCTCCCTGGCTTCTATCCATTCTCTGCTCAAATGTCACCTTATACCAGTATGTGAGGCCTTCCCTGACTGTCCTATAGAATAATCATTCCCAGCCTCCCCCAGCCATCACCCAGGGCCCTTCCTACCCTCCATGCCTCGCTTTGTTTTTCTCTACTTCACTTATCACCATTTAACATACTATATACCTGCTTATTCATTGACTTATTTCCTGTCTCTCCTACTAGGGTATAAGCTCTATAAAAACAGGAACTTTGTTTTTTTTTTTGTTTGTTTCCTGCTGTACAAAGAGCAGAATCTGGCAAGAAATGTGAACGGAACATTTATTGAAAACACTGCTTGTAAGAATATAATTTGAGAGGGATAAAGCACAGAGCACTAGAATTAAAGCAGATCGCTCAAGTGGCAATCCCGTCTACCTCTTCTGTGTATTGCTTGCCATAGGTTTTCTTCCAGAGATCCCAGTGGTGATCCAGCGTGGGGTCTTTGTGCAGCTGTGCCATGGCAGAGGAGCACCCCAGCAGAACCAGGAGCAGCCATTTCATTCTGCGAAAGGAAAGGTCA